TGTACCCCTTATGGAATCAACCCCACAACTTCCCATAGTCACCACAACCAAATATCCAAAGCATACGAACTTCAAATGTTCGTAACTTTCTTGTTCGTGCTCCGATTGAAGCGATACTTGGCTCGACGGAAAGCTCTTGAGTAGTCACTTCAGATATCTGCTCAAGCCAAATAACATTTGCACACACCCAGAATATCCAAACCACACCAAACACAAATTATTGCACACGCTCACACCACGCATGCAATGCACGAACATATGATGGGAGGTAGACATACGTAAATGCATATGATTGCATCACACAAAAATCTTTCCCCGTTACTTGACCAGGATCTAGCTTCTTTGGCAGCAGTAGCATCAGCCGCAGGTGCAGCAAGAGGAGCCGCAGCAGCAATCGTCACCACATGTGAGTGGACTTTGGACCCTTGGCTTTCTTTCCCTTCTCCAAACCACTCGCCATCTCCTCGTGTGTGTGGTCCTCCGTTTCCTCCTCCATACCCGTCTTTGGCTCTCTCTCCTCCTTGGTCACGACTGTCTAGTCTAGTTGTCCAGTCCCCTTGAATCATTCATCATCACCCTGGTGCTCATCACTTGCCTCCTGTTCAGGACCTCCACTGTTTGTTCCTTTGTACTCTCCCTCCTCGTTCCCTGCCTTCGTCTGTCCTCACGTTGCCTCCTTTATTAACCCTTATTGTTTCCTCCCACCCTTGACTATTATTGTACTACACGCCTTGATGTCTCACGTGTTTTCTCCTCTCTTGTCATAGACCCTACTGCCTCGCCGTCATTGTCTCGGCTCTTGTTGCCGCTGTCACTGACTTAACCGCACTCGCCCGCTTGACTACGTCACCTGCTCGGTGTCCATTCCTCCTACGTGTCCTCTGTCTGCAGGGGGTACCTTGGCTATGACGTCCTTGAGGACAGACAGTTGGGGCTGGAGTTCCTTGCCGCCGCTTCTCCCCATCTCTGTGCCACGCTGCTAGCCCTAAGGGAGGCCCTGATGCTCCATACAGCCCGACTTCTCGTACTTACGCTGAGGCAATGTTAGGACAGTGGGCCTCTCAGTGGGTAGCAACCATGGACCTAGAGATGACGTCTTCGAGATTCACAGGCATGTATGTCGACGCTGATCCCCATATTTGTGCGAATGTAGTCGATGGCATGAGGATCTTCAAGGTGAAGGGACCCTATCTTCAAGGCGCGCTATGTAGTGAGAGGCTTCAGTTAGCGCGAGGGAGTAGACTTTTTCCAAACCTTCTCCCCCACCCCGAAGATGACCACTCATAGTCATAGCAGATCGAGACTATGAGCTGCATTTTCACTGCCTTCTTCCAAGGTAGCATGCACGAGCAGACCTGGCTACGCCGTCCGCTGTCTGGCTTCACTGACATATTTTCGCTTGGGATTCAGTGAATCATGAAACGACTAGTCTACGGACTGCGCGAGGCACCTCGTGAGTGGCAGGAGACTCTGCGCATTACGCTTGCTGACTTCTTGTTTCGTCCTTCGTCCACCGACCCGTCACTGTTCGTGCGTTCTTGTTCCACTCCTTTCTTTCTCCTCGTGTACGTCAATGGCATGGTTTTCACCATGACATGTAGGGTTGCTCTAGCTTCAATGAAGTCCGAACTGCAAAAAAGACGCACGTGCATTGACCTTGGTGAGCTGCGCAATTATTTTAGCTTGCACATCACCATGGACACTTGGCATCAAGTGGATGCCAAACACTTGCGGTGGATGCCAGACTCCCGCGCCACCTAGCTCATCGAAGCCGCAACCTCCAGGCGCACGAGCCACCGTGACTTTGCTTGGGCCGTATAAGCTTGACGCTTATGTTACGTTGGCTTGTGCCTACGAGAGGGGGGGCTGGCAGCACGATTCTTAACAGAGAGGTGGGGACTCTTCTGTCAAACATACTTGCATGATTATAATTGGGTAGGCTGTAGTGGGGTTAGCCTTAGAGGGTACAAAAACAACCTTGACACTCTAGTCTTGTACCCTAATCTCCACCTAATTCACTCACTCTTGCCTTAGTTCTTAACATGGTATCAGAGCGAAGGTCTCGGGTTCGAATCCCAGTGTGTGCACTTCGGGCATCCCAGTGCGGGGGGTGTCAGAGGTCTACTGGTGATCCCCGATTGATCCTAGGGAAGGGTTACAAGCTCGTTGACCTGAGGGGTTATGGGCGCACTGACCCGCTACTTAACAAGCCCTTTTATCCCAATGGGTCTAGTGGTTGGGATTCTGACATCTTCGATTAGTCGGAAGAAATGAAAGAACCAGCAGCTTCCCTGGTAAGCCATTGTGGGAACAGTACTCGGCGTTGTCGTCCTCAGCGCCCACACTATCCGCAGCGCCCAGATCAGCCTCGGAGCCCTTGTCGTCCTCGGCGTGATGCTCGTCATCGGCGCCCACATCGTCCTCGACGCCCACGGCTGACTCGTCCCATAGGCACTCTTTAGGCTTACCCCAACGTGGTGCCAACGCCGGAGCTGCGGTCCACTTGTTTGGAGCCTTGTTTGAATCCGGTTCCGATAGGAACTCGTCAAAGGCCGATGCTGGAGGCAGTAGGAACGTGAGGACGGGGTGATTGCCCGTGTATGTTGGAGCAGGCGAATTCGGAGGAGCAGGAGGAGCGGGAGGCGTTCGAGGAGCAGGATGAGCAAAGGCTGCAGGTGGCGCAAGAGGCTGTGGTGGCTCCAGTGGCTCAGGTGGGACACAGCTATACCAGCCGTCTTCGGACACTTGCCAAATATGTCTAAGGCGCTGATTGAAAAGGAAGTGGTTGCCTGTAAATTCCGGCATGGCTTCCGCAGCCATGCGGGAGAGGTAGAAAGAACGAAGAAAAAAAAAACAAAAAAAACAACGGAGGGGACCTGTCCTCCACAATGAATGACAGGAAACTTCGCCTGAACCTATAGAAGAGCCTGCGTGGCACGAAATCCGCTGCGCTGGGAGGGATTATTTGATTGACCCTCTTATAGAGGGTTCGGCTATATTACAACAGCCTGGCAGCGCATGACTATGTGATTGGGCCGCAAGGCAAGTTTTGAGTCAACGACGGCGGGTTCGATGGTTATGGATTGAATTGTGCGATGGGAAACCAAATCGGTTTTGTCATGCAGGAACAGTTTTATCTAACGGTTTTTTCATGCACGAACCCACGTAAACAACTTTTGGGTGTGTTTGTCATAGTGAGAGCTTTATTTTGGTACATAGATATATATATATATATATATCTTTATTTTTTTTACGTTTGACAAACGCACACGCTTATACATTTTACTCAATTAGAAGCCCACCCCATAAAAAGGCACATTTTATTTCAAGCGCACCTATGCTTACATCGAGGGCCATACGGTATTACACGACTTTATCATAATGCTATTTATATTCACTATGTTAAGGACCCTTTGAGACTTCCATTGTCATGAAATCCTAGCACCTTATCTTGTCCAGTCTATCCTTGGCAAATTCTAGCAGATTCTGAAGTTGACTTGTTGAAATAGAAGGGGGTTAGGGCGGGTCCAACTCATCACAGCTCAGGTCAATATTAGCCTCTGTAACCTTTTTCTGTAGGGTGACCGCGTCAAATCATGAGACTAGCCGGGATGACGCGCTCGGTTTTCCGCCATGCAAAACGAGTTTCGTGCCACAACACATTTCAAACTCGAAAATTTTCCGAAAATATTAGGGAACTGGTAAGCAAGAGCAAATCAAACTTTCTCACACACACATCCCAGTAACAGAGTGTATTCGTGATTGCGAACTGTATTAGTTTCGTCAGACGGTAACCTGTCTCGCAGCAGTTCCAGTTCCTAGAGTGTCTTCCCACAAAAACCCCTGACGAAGTCTGCCGATTGCACGCATGATTTTTTTACCCATCAACTTCTGTTCATACGGGAGGGATGTTGTGTCTGTGTTGATGGTACACCAGTTCGTTTGAGCAGGTGCTGTGCCCGCCTGGGGTCAACATGACGCTGCACGTGTGTAGGTTCGAATTGGGTGTTTGTTATCCGGACAGTCAACATTTTGTTACAGGGGTGTTATTCCCCGAAACGAAACGAGTTGGACCCGCCCTTAGGTGTAGTATCAAAATACAAACATTTTCTTCTCAGCTATCTCCAGGCCAACCTGCCTTAGGACGCGTCACCTGAAGCGGATCGATCGGCTGGAAGATCGGTTTTGCGCATGGGGTGTAGCACTGTAGCGTCGTAATCAGCAAGGTAACTAAATATCGTGAATGTTCGTGAATGTACAGTAAAAATATGCACACGAACCTGTCACCTACGGGAGCCCTGATCGATACAGCGAAGTAAAAATATCGAGCGTGAGATTGGGTGGCGGGGTGTGGAATTTCGCGCCACAAGTGACAGTAAATTTCGATTGTTTTCGCTCGTCATCGTATACCCTAGGTTTCCCAGTGCGATTCTGCGCACGACAATATTGCTGTTGTCGCAGGCTAGGTTACCACAACCCCGTAACCTGCCATACCGAACCTGTCACCTGTATATCGGTGCGCCGTAGCTGCGCAGTCATGGGCACCGATCTCTACCGAGCTTGGGCTCGAAATGACAATCGGTGCGGGTCGGCCGATCTTCAGACGATCCGCTTCAGGTGACGCGTCCTTATTTTTGTCAGTTTTGCCGCCACGGGAGCTGATGTTTTTGTGTCCAATCAATCTCGTCCCCAGGTTCCCTCGCCTCGGTTTCATCCTCGCTGTTATCGGCCGCCTTGATTTGCTCGCAAAAGCGAAGGTGTACCACTCACCTCACCCCTCCTACCCTGGGTTCCTGCATGCTACTGCTGCATCTGCATGCCCTTCTGCTCTGCATGTTAGACAGAACATCGCTGCCAACGCGTTTCCTTGCTTACCTGATTCCCACTTCAGCTGCTAACCAAGCTCGGTTCTCGCCGTCGCCTTGTAGAACCATCCATTCAGGGGGATCCGTCCCTGGGACGTCCCTTCATTGCGCCTCCGTTTTCTCTAAGCACTTGCGATGGACAGTATTTTTTTATCGAACAGCAACGGCAGCGTGGAAGGGCGGGCGAAGAGGCAGAGTCCTTCGAGCGAGCTAGCGGCGGCAGAGCACGTAACGGACGGGCTGACAGTCGCGCGGCTGTCGGGCGCTCTCGATCACTCCGACTCCCCTGACACGGAGGAGCGGCGCGTGCTGCCGCCAACCGACCCGATGGTGACGTCACTGCTGACGGATATGTACCAGCTGACCATGGCGTATGCTTACTGGAAGGCGAAGAAGCACAACGACCACGCCGTGTACGCGCTCTCCCGCGCTTCTCCCTCCCGCTCGAACCCTCACCTGCGTCCAATCATCATCCCGCCAAACCCCTCGCGCCTGACCTCGCCGTGCTCTGTTGCGCGCGACACTTGTGCGCTCCGCGTTACCGAGATCCCGCACCCACCGCGTGTCCTCTCGTCCTCCTCTCCGCCCCGACCGTGTCCATGCGCGTCCACCGCTCCGGCGCGCCCCCTGCAGGTTCGACCTGCTGTTCCGCAAGAACCCGTTCGGCGGCGAGTACACGCTGTTCGCGGGGCTCGAGGAGTGCGTGCGATTCGTCGCCAACTTCCGATTCTCACAGGCTGACGTCGCCTACCTGCGCACCATCATGCCGCCCTCGTGCGAGGTACGCCGCCCACCCTGCCTCTCCCCTACCCACGTGTGGCAATGTCAAGCGGGCGGGCACCGTGCAGTGGGCCGCGCGTGCTCTGATGGCAGCCCTCCTCCCCTCGCTTCCCCACCACCTCCGCCACTCTCTCCCGCGCACCCGCCATCAGGGGTTTCCCCACTCGCACTCAAGGAGGAGTGCGCGATTGTCTCCCCTGTTCTACTTATTAACTGGAATCACGACATCATAGACAACTTTCCCCTCTGTGTCTCCCCCCTGTTCCCCTGTTTCTCACCTTTTCTCTCCCTCTCGCCTGCTCCCTACTCCTAGCCCGTCACTTCCCTGCTTTCCCTGTTTTGTACGTTACCCTTTTCAAAACCTTTTTGGTGCGTGTGCATGTGTGTGTGTGTGTGGGGTGGGGGGGGGAGAGGAGGGGGTGTGTGTGTGTGTGTGTGTGTGTGCGTGCACGGTGCGGTGCGGTGCGGAGGGGGCATGGCAGGACGCGTTCTTTGACTATCTGTTGACGCTCGACTGCTCCACCATCCGCATCATGGCCCTGCCAGAGGGATACGTCGCCTTCCCTCGTGTGCCGCTCATGCGCGTCGAAGGCCCTCTCCTCGTACGTTCCTGCCTGCTCTCTCCCCCCCACCTCCTTCCTTTCCTCTTGCAGCAGCAGTAGGCAGCAGTCGCTTCCCGTGCATTTATCCGCTCTACCACTTCTAGCCTTGCTGCCTGCCAGCCATGCGCCACATTATGACTGTGTGTGCACGCGCCTCTGGTTGTCCCTGTTATGGGTGGCAGGTGGCGCAGCTGCTGGAGACGACGCTGCTGGTGCTCGTGAACTACGCCTCGCTCGTCGCCACCAACGCCGCCCGCCACCGACAAGTGGCCGGGCCCAACAAGATGCTATTTGAATTCGGCCTCCGACGCGCCCAGGTCGCCCGCCTGCTCCCCCACACTCCCCTTGCACTTGGGCTGCTGGGCCCACTGCTGCTTGCCATCCGCTCGCAACCCACTATTTCACCTCCCTACCCACTCCCCCATGGGGCTTTGTTCTCCCTACCGCACCTTGCCTTTTATCTTATTCTCACTGCTCGTACCCAACTGCGTTTTTATGCGCTCACTTATATGTTCCGCACATGACAAACAGCACATGCCAAGCGGCATGCCAAGCAGCATGCCAAGCAGCGCATTGCAATGTAAAGACTGAGGCAGGCCACTGCATGTCGGTCCCAACTGAAACCCTCTTTCTGTTGTAAATTTGTTGTGACCTCGTGTGTGCCTGGCAGGGTCCCGATGGTGCGGTGTCGGCATCGCGCTATTGCTTCATGGGTGGCTTCGATGCCACCAGGTAGGCCCGCCAGACTGCCACCACGTGCAACTTGCCTTGCATTCTCACTCACATTACATGGTCCAGCTTTTCCACCTGGAGCTCTGTTCGTTCTTGTTTCCATCCCTACTTTCCACTGCCCTTGTGTTTGTTAAATATTCAACCGATTACCGTTTCTCCATGCCTCCTTCACTTGTTGTCCACGTTTCATTGGCTCTGGTCACCTTTTCCTTTTCTACCCCCCTTTTCCTCTCTGCCACCGCTATGTGTGTGGCGCCTGTGTGGTGGCTGGGAGCAGCAATGTAGAGGCGGGGCGCATCTTCAACATCCCTGTCAAGGGCACACACTCGCATGCCTTTGTCTCCTCCTTCCTCGTATGCCCACTCCCTCGCCTCGCCTTGTCCTTGTATGAGTTTCCACCCACCGCTGCTCACATGTTTATTCACCTGCTTCTCTCACGGCTCTCCTGTCATGCTCTGCCCATTCATTCGCGCACAAACGCACATTGCCATCCAACCCTCTCGCCAGCTGCCCATTCCCATGCCACGCCCTCCTCTCTCTCTCTCTCTGTGCACGTCTCCCCATGTGTGCCACGGCCGTCGCCCATGAGCGGGCATGGGTGTGCAGGCGTTGGATGAGATCAAGGAGCGGGCGCTGCCATCAGCAGATGGCTCCCACGTGTGCCCTGACTTCGTGGCCCTCGTGCTCTCCTTCCTGCACCGCATGCAGGTCGCCCCATTGCTGCCCCTCTTTTCGCCCTCCTCGCTGCTCCTTGTGCTGGCCCCTTGCCACCCGTCGCTGCCGCCTCAACTGTCACTTTTGTTCTTGGCCTGCTGCCATTTGTGCACCTGCTCGTCGCTGTAGCCCATTCACGTGCTGCCTGCTGCTATTTCGCTGATGCACCCATTGCTGCCGTGCTGCCCTGCAGGAGAGTGAGAAGCTGAGGGACCTGTTTGCAGAGACCAATCAGAGCGAGCTGGCGGCGTTTACCTCATATGCGCTCGCCTTCCCCACGCACTTCCAGGCGCTCGTCGACACCTACGATGTGAGTGCCTGCCCTGCTTGCACCATGTGCTATGCTGTTCCATCAACCCGGATCCTCAAGGCAAAAGTGCAGGTCGTCACATGGGTGAGTAAGCGCCCGGCATGGTGGGGTGTGGCCTGTTCAGATGCGTTGCGTTGACCGAGTCAGGCTGTCATGGATCCACCATTTGGGTTGCGGCGCTGCCATTGTGCGCACTGCCATGCTAGGGGCTCGTGTGTGGGGATACAAGGGCTTGGATAAAACGGCCGTCTGCTTGGCAGGGTAATGCAGTTTGTCATGTGTGTGGTGAAGCCTGGCATGCCCACCCGGTGTGGCAGTTCACCCTCATTTCACTGCACTCTTTTCTCGTCATCCGTGTGCAGTATGCTATCAAATTAATGGGTAAATGAGAGCCGCACTTCCTTCTGAGTGATTTGAGCCAACATTCATCTGGTCACGTTGCTGCCATCCTCCCGGCTCTCCCAGGTGCTGCGGAGTGGAGTGCCCAACTACTGTGCGGTTGCCCTCGCACTGCACCAGCTGGGGTGGGCGCCTTCCTGCGTTGCCCCTCGCTCATCGCATCACATGCCTGCCTACTCGCTCTGTCCCCTTTTGCAAGCTGCTCTCTGCACCTAGTCGTTTGTCATGCACATGGGTCTCGCACAACACCATGTGTAGCGGCTTCTGGGCTGTGCATGTGACTGTCAGACCTTTACGAGGCTCGCACGCTGGAGTAATAGATTGGTGTGCTGGCAGGCTGGCCCACATGGCACGGGCATCACCCAAGGGTAACTGCTAGCTGGTGCGTTGTGGTGATTGATGCCCGCAGTGGTTCTCTCACCTCTCTGGCACCGACTGGTCATTGCCACATGGTGTGTGCATATGGCTATAAAGCACCCCACGCGGAGCAGGTGGGGAACAGGTGTACAGCCACTGCTGCAACCCACACAACTTGTGTTTGGAAGTGTGCAACTTACCAACTTCAACTCGCTGCACTGACCTGCTTTACTCTCACACGCTGTCTGCATGCACCCACGTTTCCACTTCAACTCTCACCATGCTTCTTCCCGCCCTGCCCACTCCCGCCCTGCCCACTCCTGCCCTGCCCACTCCCGCCCTGCCCACTGCCGCCCTGCCCACTGCCGCCCTGCCCACTCTCGCGCTGCATGTGGCAGGTACCGTGCGGTGGGCATTCGTTTGGACTCGGGCGACCTGGCATACCTGTCGCAGCAGGCACGCCACTTTCTGCACCACTGCGAGGCCTTTTTCCATGCGCACGGGCTCAGCAGCGCCGTCATCACAGCCAGCAGCGACATCAACGAGGCCACCCTGGAGGCCCTCAACAAGCAGGTCGCTCCCCGTACTCGCCTCTCCGCCACCAGCCTCTGCTTCTTGCGACCACTGCGCCCATGCCCCACATGCGCCGCTACTACGTTCTTTCGTGCCATTCGCGTTCTCATTTTTTTTTAGCTGTGCTTGGGCGTGTGCATGCGCATGCAGGGCCATGAGATAGACGCATTTGGCATCGGCACGCACCTGGTGACATGTGCGAAGCAGCCAGCCCTGGGGTGCGTGTACAAGCTGGTGGAGATCAACAGCCAGCCGCGCATCAAGCTCAGCCAGGACTTTGACAAGGTGATTTGCAGGGAGAGCACGCACTGGGTGCTCCACGGCTGAGAGGGAGTGGGTCCACTGTGCGTGATAGGGAGGGGTTGGGGTGCATGTGATTGAGAGTGAGGGAGTAGGGTGTGAGTGAGAGGGTGGGGTTAGGGTGCATGGCAGCGTGCAACTCATGCTGCGAGTGCAGCAGGCTCTTTTTCTGTTCCTCCAGGAAGCACACGTGTTGTGCTCCTTGTGATGGAGATCTGAAGGTGTCCCTGTCGCTGTGCCTTGTTATTGATGCTGCCTGCCATTGCCCACATGCAGGTGACGATTCCGGGCAAGAAGGCGTGCTATCGGCTGTACGGCAGGGAGGGCTACCCTCTGGTGGACCTGCTCATGATGCCATCGGACCCGCGCCCTCAGGTCACCTCACCACACATGCGCACACCACTGCTGTACCACCGTGTCGCCGTGTCCCTCTGCTCATGCCTGTGGATGCCGCCAGTACTCTGCACAGCATGCACGTGCCATTAGCACTGGTGCTCCATGATCATGGCTGCCACTGTTCATTTGCAAGTTTGCCATGATAGTGCGTGTCAAGGCTTGTCAGCAGCCTGCTCATCGTTGTCTCCTCCCCTGGGCACTATGCCATGCTATCCCCGTGGAACGGGTGCGGGTGAGTGCAGGTGGGCGAGCGCATCCTGTGCCGGCACCCCTTCAGCCAGTCCAAGCGGGCCTACGTGGTGCCGCACCGAGTCGAGCCACTCTACCGCTGCTTCTGGCGGGGAAAGCAATTCTGTAAGTGCAAGCCAGGGCTGTTATGGGGACTATAACCAGGGAAGTGAGCTTCTTTCCTGCTCCATCTTCTGCTCCTGCCCTGTCCCCCATTTTGTGTCTCTCCCTCTCTCTTCCCCCTCTCCTACCTCCATTTCTGCCTCGCGCTCCCTCCACCCCAGCATTACCGGATGGGCAGGTGGAGGAGGAGAGTGTGGGGGTGGAGCGGCTGCCAGCGCTGGTGGAGGTGAGGGAGCGGTGCCGGCAGCAGATCACAGGGCTGCGCCCCGACCATATACGCGGGCTCAACCCCACGCCCTACAAGGTGATGCCTCTCTCCCCGCACGTTGCTGTTTGAACACTGGGACCCACTGGAACACGTGCATGCACTTGATGATTGGATGTATGAGTTTTTGCTTGTGATGTTTTGTAAAGGGCGGGAGAGTGTGGCTGTACGGTATGCACTGTTGGATGCTCGTCCATCATGCTTGTGGATGCGTCTGTCTCTGTATTCCAACATTCTCGCATCAATGCATGCATTACGTGCCTCTGTGCTCCCACACATGCATGGTGTGCTCATGGTTTCCGTGTGGCAGATAAGTGTGACGGACAGGCTGTACAATTTCATTCAGGATCTATGGATGACAGAAGCTCCTGTTGGCCAGCTTGTGTGATGGCCTCGTCTCAAGTCCCTTCTAGGCTTCCCAGATGAAGCATCTTCAGACTGTTTAGTGCCAGTACTAGATTTCGCTCTCTTATGTAGATTCTTTGTGGTGCTGCTGCTGTTACTGTAGAATGCGATGCTGGTGCGTAAAAAGGTCACATTCTGGTTATCTCTGTACATTAGCCAGTAGAAAAAGTTGTGTCCCCCACGTACCGGCATTTCTATTTGGGTCCAATTTGAGATCACAAGGTTAGAAAAGACACTAATTGGCAGAGCATGTTAGAATAAGCAGGCAGGAATGATGGACTAGGTAGCATGCATGAGTACAAGTAACCCTAAAGTGTTGTAACCCTTGTAGGCTAACCCACTATAGCCTAGAGATAATACAAACATACAGTTTGACACACCCCCATAGGCTACCGTCATCGCCCGGATATAAGACATATATGTCTTATCTCGTACACGGGCAAAAATGCTAGTTATCTTGTAAACGGGATGGTTTAGGGTGTCTTATAATTCTTATAAATGGAAAAAAAAATAAGTTGACTGTAACACTTGCAAAGTGTGTAGAAAACACCCAGGGACCAGATTCATTGAAACAGGCCGACCTCGGTGGTGATGCAGCAAAGCTGCCACCGCTGGCAAGATTCCTCTGTGCTGGCAGCATCTAATGATGCTGCCAGCGTCGTTTTGCTGCCAGCAGCGCATGGCAGCTTCCAGAACGCTGCTGGCAGCACGTTGGCAGCGTCAGGCTGTCCTCTACGAGGAGATGCCTCGTAGAGGAGCGGCTCGGCACCTGTGGATGGGGCACTCTGGCTGGGGGGGGTAGTCGGGCTTTCACTTCATTTGGTGCTCATGGAGGTTGAATTCTCACCTCAACCTTGCTCTCGGCAGGCTCTCTAACCATGCGCAGCAAGGTACCCCTAGGCAAGTCCTCACCTCGTCCTCACGTGCAGGTGAATAACTACGGGCGAATTAACTCGCCCGGCGATGACATCCGTGTAGCCATGGCGAAGAACGCGAGCAAGGCGGGAAGTCCTACCGCCGCCTCCGGTGCGAGCTGTGACGGGGAAGACGGAGACGAAGCACACGGCGACGACGCCGAGGAGGATTGGCCGGAGAACGGCCACGATGACAGCGCTTCGGGCGACGAATTTGGTACTGCCGACATCGAGGAGGACGAATGGTGGAATCAGCCGGTCGGGAGCGACGACGAGGTGGAAGAGTGGCGGGCTGGTGATTCCGACAACGACGGAGGTGAAGATGCTGGCGGTGACAACGCGGAGGCACAGGAAGCGGCGGTGGATGCGAATGAGGCTGCCGACGAGGCGGCGGCGGAACTCGAGACAGAGGCGCGTGCGGATGCGGACGCGGTGGCGGAGGCGAACAAGGTGGCTGCGGATGCCGTCTTATTTGAGGGTGAGGGCGACGACGACGACCCGTGGAGCCTTGGGACAGACGACGACGTTCCGCTACTGAAGCGGAGGCTGCGCCATCGCCTACAGTCCACGACGAAGCGCGCCCGCGTGGTGCTCTGTGACGACGACAGTCCCGGGGAGGAGCGTCGCCCCCTACTCACCGCTGCGGAGAAGGGAAAGGCAAAGGTCGTGGAAGCCCCTGCTAAGTCCCCTGCTAAGGCCCCTGCAAAGGCCCCTGCTCGTGGCCGCACAAGCAACAAGAAGCGCAAGGACGACGGAGACCCTGGATCCAGCAAGGGTGCAACAAAGAAAAAGGCGAAGAAGGCGCCGAATCCTGACGACATCATCGTCAACGAGGCGTTGGGCAGCGACGATGAGTACGCGGCGGCGGCGGGCCCGATTCCCACGTTCCCTGAGAAGGAGGCGCCGAAGGACCCCACCCTCCATAATCCCAACACCCGCCCACCTTCCCCTCGCAGCAAAGACACTACGAAGAAGCGCCGCGGCTGGACCGTGCGTGAGAAGGTTAAGTGGGCGCGCCGCTATCAGGAGCTCGGCTCCTTGAAGAAGACTAGCTTGGAGTCAACCGCGAGCGTCGCCTGCATCAGACACTGGTGCGCGGAGGCGGCTGCGGGCATCTACAAGGGCGCGGCTAACTGCCGCAAGCGGATGCACGGGGGGGGCCGCCACGCACACTACCCCGACATGGAGGCAGCGTTGTACCGCTACATCTGCCTTCAGCGCGCTAACGGGGTGGCCATCTCGGTGAAGGACACCCAAAAGTGGAGCCGCGAGTGGATGAAGAAGCATTACCCCGGCAAGAACTGGAACGCGAGCTCTCACTGGAGCCAGCGTTTCCGTGACCGCTGGAACCTGGTGATGCGGGTGAAGACGAAGGTCGGACAACGTCTGTCGGCAGGTGCGTGGATAAGGAGTTCGTGCCGCGCACGGCCCATTGTATGCATGTCTTACCTTGCTCGTTGTCTAACCGTCCCTCGCTTCTGTTCCTGTCCCGTTTGCAGAGTGCGCGAAGGACTGCGAGTCCTTCTGGAAGTTCGTGCGCATCAACAGGGCGCGGCACAACATCGACCTGGCCCGTATCATCAATGCGGACCAGACGCCACTGTTCGTGGAGATGCCGGCCGAGAGGACGATCGAGCACCGTGGCGCGCGCTCGGTCCCAATCCGCACTGCAGGCTACCAGAAGACGCGCTTGACGGTGATGCTCGCGTGCACTGCATCCGGGGAGAAGCTGCGGCCGTGGGTGTGGTTCAAGATGAAGAACGTCCCCAACTGTGAGATTCCGGACGGTAAGCGCCATGACTTCAACCTTGCCCCTGCCTCATGAGCGTGCCCCACTGTGCTGATGTCCGTCTGTCCCTTATGTGCCTGGCAGGAATCGTGGTCCAAGCACAGGACAACGGGTGGATGGACGAGAGCGCTGTGCAGACCTGGCTGTCCAAGGAGGTGCTTCCCCATCTGAACCCCCAGCGCGGCAAGAGCACGAGGCGTGCGATGCTGGTGTTGGACTCCTACCGCGGCCACATCACCCAGACCATGCTTCAGTCGTACCGCACGCACAGCATCACCCCTGCAGTCATTCCAGCGGGTTGTACGAGCCAGATTCAACCCCTGGACGTCTCCATCAACCGGTGCTTCAAGGCTGCCGTGCGAGCGCGCTACGCCAGGTGGTTCATGCGTGAAGGGATTCACCTGAAGACGAAGAAGGGTGAGTTGGCTGTTCATTTTAAATTCCTGCTCTGTTTCGTGTCCTTATCGTTAACATCTCGCTGCCGTGTCCTCTGTCCCACCCGCAGGGAACCTGCGGAGGCCTCCGCACCCCGTGGTGCTGCAGTGGATCGCGGAGGCTTGGGATCAAGTCCCCAGGCAGATCATCATCGACGCATTCCGCCACTGTGGGATCTCCAGCAAGCTGGACGGAACGGAGAACCACCTGGTGATGTCTCACCTGCGCGCCAGGAGCACCACCGATGTCTCCGAGGACATGTCCCTCGGGGGGACCACAGGCGACAACACGCGCCTGCTTCGGAAGGCTCCAGAGGAGGAGGAGGAGGAGGAGGAGGAGGAGGAGGAGGAGGAGGAGGAGGAGGAGGAGGAGGAGGAGGAGGAGGAGGAGAAGGAGGAGGAGGAGGCGATGCAGGCGGAGGGCGTGCGGGAGGTGGCCGTGGCAACTGGCCTGGAGGTGCTGTACCAGGAGACCCCCAACTACCGCGGAGCGGCGGCCGAGGCTGACCGCATGATCGAGCCAAGGGAGACGGCTAGGCATGCCTGGCGAGTGCCAGACCTGGGCGTAGAGCCTGTTGCTAGTGCTGCAGAGGAGGCGGTTACTGAGGGGGGTTAGGTAGAAGTAGGGATTCATGAATGTATGGATGTACCCCCCTAAAGTAGTGTAGGCTCGTTTAGAAGACACCCCCTGTTTATAAGAAAACCCCTAAACCCCGGTTCTGATTATAAGACATATATGTCTTATCTCGTACACACAAATAGGTGTCGTATAAAAAGGCTTGCCTGTTTATAAGAGACACCCGTATAGTAGACAACCCCTGTCTACTATTCAACACTGTCTTACATCCGGGCGATGACGGTAAGTGGGAGAGAGCAAACACAACAGACGGTCACAAGACCAGTCAGGCAAGAGAAAAAAGCAAAGCAAAGCCCAGGGTGGATCACAAGGTCACCACGCATTCTGAGCACAAGCAAGCGGCCACAAGGCCAGTTCACATGCAGAGTTATAAGAGCAAGGCAATACACTGATCACAACCTAGCAAGAGTAAACAAGCAGGTACAAAGATATATATCCGTGTACAACAAGAGCAAGTCAAGCAACCAGCAGGTGAGGCGGAGTGGGCACAAGCCCAAGACCTGTGCAGAAACGCTGATGATCACCAGACCCAAGGGCCTTGGTAAAGACATCAACAGTGTTGGCCCGAGAGGCCACGTAAGCAAGGCGCAGCTGACCACGCTGCTGCAGCTCACGCGCAAGGAAGTAGCGAAGAGCAATGTGCTTCGTTCTGTGCTCCAGTCTCTGCTCGCGACACAAGGCAAGCATTGCCTTGTTGTCGACGTACAGAACTGGAAGAGAACGAGGCCGCTCCCCCAAGTCGGTCAGTAGGTAGGTCAGCCAGCGTAGCTCCTGTGCAGCTATGGCCCCAGCGTAGATCTCGGCCTTGCAGCTGGAGCCAAGCACAGAAGAAGAACGAGTGGACCTCCACGAGACAGAACCAGAGCCAAGACTGAAGGTGTAACCCTTTGACGAACGCTGAGTCGCCTGGTCATCGGCCCAAGAAGCGTCAGAGTGTCCTGTGAGGACCACCGAACCCCGTCCTCCAAGCATGAGCCCTATGCCCGATGTATTGCACAAGTAACACAGTACCCTCTTCGCAGCATCAAAGTGCACCTTTCGGTGTCTACCGTGTGCCACGTAGCGAGCCAGGAGGCTGAGAGGGTACGCGAGGTCAGGTCGTGTGCACGTCATCAGGTACATGAGGCAACCCACAAGCTCTGGGTACGGACCACTCGGCTCTACGGACTCGTCCGAAGGTGGAGCTGAGAGCGAGTGGCCGGTAGACGAAGGAGTGGGTTGTGGCGAGGACCACGAGAAGCCGAAGCGCTGAAGGACCTGCTGCACCATGTGTGACTGAGTCAGGGTGATGGTGCGCCGTGCTCTGTCCCGGGTGATATGCAAGCCAAGATAGCTCCGCAGCTCACCCAGGTCAGTGCAGGTGTGTCTCTCCTGCAGCTCCGCCTTCACTAGGGCCAGTGCCTCAGCGTCAGCAGTAGCAAAAACCAAGTGGTCGACGTACACGAGGATGTAGAACGTCGGCAGAGTAGTGTCGGTGCGTAGAAACAGCGACGGGTCAGCAGTCGAAGGAGCAAACCCAAGAGCAGCAAGTGTCGTCTGTGTGTCGTGCCACTCGCGGGGCGCCTGACGCAGGCCGTACACTGGTCGCCGTAGGCTCCACTGGGTACCCTCAGGAAACGACCCAGTGAAGCTTTCTGGACGGCGCAACCAGATGGCCTCGTGAAGGCTACCCTGTAGGAAAGCTGTCGAGAAGTCGAGGGAGTGCAGCTCGTAGTCGCGCTGTGCTGCAACGTGCAGCAACACCCAAAGAGTGGTCATCTTCGGGGTAGGGGAGAAGCTCTGAAAGAAGTCGACCCCCGCATGCTGACTGAAGCCTCGAGCAACGTAACGTGCCTTGTAGGCAGGCGGAGAACCCGGCGTCCGCTTCACTCTGAAAATCCACATGCCACTGACAATGTTCGCCCCAGGTGGGGGAACCTCGTCGACGTAGGTGCCTGTGGACTTCCAGGAAGCCATCTCTGCGTCCATGGCTGTCTGCCACTGAGAAGAGTACTCACTCGAAATCGCCTCTCTGTAAGAGCGCGGGGTGGGGATGTCAAGTGCATCCGGGTCTCCCTCAGGGCAAGCAGCATGGTCGTGAGATGTGGTGAAGCGACCGCAAGGCACTCCAGCTCCTCTTGCCTGTCCTCAAGAACGTCACAGCCAAGGGCAGTACAGCCAAGGGCAGTCTCACCCCCGACGGACGGAGGACAGGCAGGGACAGAGTCAGAAACAAGGCTCGCAAGGTAGTCTAGGCGGTACACAGCAGCAAAGTCAACGAGCTCAGCGACTAAGGCAGACGCAGCAGGAGACGAGAACGAAGGGTCAGTCACCACCATAGCAAGAAAGCGAGTAACAGTCGGACTGGACGCATGAGCAAGGTCAGACGGAGGGTCAGCAACGTCAGGAAGAGAGGACGCAGGAGGTAACGGGAGGACAACACGCTGTGGAACAGAGGAAGGACGGAGTGTCATATCGTGAGTGCCTTGGACAGACAGAGCACGCTGACGACGAACACGAGGAACACGAGTATGGACAGCGGCTCTAGGCTCAGGCTCAAGGTCAAAGCTAGACTTAGGCTCTCGATGCTTAGGGGTGGAAGCACGAGTCTCGGGCTCTCGACGCTCAGACAGGGACTGTGTCACTGCAGTGTAAGGAGTAGGAGCAGGCAGTGGGGAGTGCGGTAGCAGTGGCGGCTGAGACCAATCGGCCAGTGGAAACAGTAACGGAGGAGTAGTACCTGCCACAGGGAAGTCAGTAGCACCTGGCGGAAGACTAAGAAGGTGGCGAAGAGCACCAGCAGCTCCCGTACCTTCAGCACGAGCAGCACCAGCACCTCCAGCACCACTAGCTCCGGCAGCTCCAGCACCTCTAGCACCAGCAGTACCTCTAGCACCTCCAGTGCCAGCAGCTCCAGTAGCACCTCCAGCACCTCCAGCACCAGTAGTACCACCTACTCCGGCAGCTCCAGCACCTCTGGTACGAGTACCTCCAGGACCAGCAGCTCCAGCTCCAGCGCCTCCAGCACCAGTAGTACCTCCAGCACCTCCAGTGCCAGCAGCTCCAGAAGCATCTCCAGCACCTCCAGCACCAGCAGTACCACCTGCTCTGGCAGCTCCAGCACCTCTAGTACGAGCTCCTCCAGGACAAGCAGCTCCAGCACCTCCAGTACCTCCAGCTCCAGCGCCTCCAGCACCAGCAGCACCAACACCTTTGGTGCCAGCAGCTCCAGTAGCACCTCCAGCACCAGCAGTACCACCTGCTTCGGCAGCTCCAGCACCTCTAGTACGAGCACCTCCAGGACCAGCAGCTCCAGCACCTCCAGTACCTCCAGCTCCAGCGCCTCCAGCACCAGCAACACCAGCACCTCCAGGGTCAGCAGCTCCATTAGCACCTCCAGCACGAGCAGCTCCACCAGGACTAGCAGCTCCAGTACCTCCAGCACCAGCAGCAGCTCCAGTACCTCCAGCAGTACCTCCAGGACTAGCAACTCCAGTACCTCCAGCACCAGCAGCACCTCTAGTACCTCCAGCAGTACCTCCAGCACCTCCAGCACCTCTAGGACTAGTAGCTCCAGCACCAGCAGGACTGTACCCTCCACCACCAGGACTGCCTCGCCGAACGACCCACGCACGAATCGCCTGCGACGAGAGTGTCTCCAGCCGAGCAGGCTGCGGTGGCTGTCAGCTCCAGCACCTCCAGTAGTGGTAGCTCTAGCACCTCCAGCACCAGAAGCACCTCTAGTACCTCCAGCTCCAGGACCTCCAACAGGGTCACCCACAACTCCACCGCCACTAGGACTCGCAGCACCCCCAGTCGCAGCACCTCCAGAACCTTCACCCTCTGTCTCAGCTCCAGAGTCCATAGCAGCAGGCTGCGGAGGGGGCGAAGACGGTCGAGGCGGAAAACCCGGGGGGGTCTCCAAGCGTGGAGAGCGGCGAGTGGCCGCCGTGTCGTCCGCAACTGGGTCACCCCCCTCAGCTGGGCTAGAGGAGTCAGAAGAGATCTCCACTGGCTCATCCAAGGGGGGTGGGTCGACCTGAGACACACCTGAGGGAGCAGGACCCTGTGGGGGGAGGGGGTCTACCGGGGGGGGGGACTGGTACCAGGAAGAGGGGTGCTAGGGGAACCGGGTGGGACGCGTGCGGGTGTAACTGGTAGAAACAGACCGACTCGTCAAAGGTGACGTCCTGGGAGGCAAAGACTCGACGCGAGGGCGGGTGGTAGAACTGCCACGGCTGAGCATCAGTGGGGAAGCCAAGGAAGACGCGGCGGAGAGTGCGAGAGGAGAGCTTGCTCGCGGTGGTATCGCGAACAAGAGAGAGCACGCTCTAGACCCGAAACACTGACGCATCGCCAGCCTTCCCCGTCCACTGGAGTGCGGGCGAGGTCTCCGACTCCGAGACACGGGGCCAGAGGTTCAGCTGATGCGCAGCGTATTGAACCACAAACAGCCACAGAAAGGAGCAGCCGCATGGATCATGGAGGTACAAGCATCCTCCATGATCAAGCCAATGCGACGCTTAGCAATCCCATTCTGCTGAGGAGAGGCCGGAAGCGTGAACGTCTGGCGGATGCCCTCGTCTTGACAAAACCCAGCAAGGAGGTCAGAAGAGAACTCACCGCCCCTGTCATAGTGCAGACGCAGGACTCGTGCAGCTGGAGACGAGTAGCACGGATCCAGGGGATCAAAACACCGCTGACGTCCGCCTTGCGATGCAAGGGGAAGACTGTGGTGTAGCGTGTGTAGTCGTCAACAACCAACAGGAGGTAGCGCTCCTGACTCGTTCCACCGATGGGGGCGGGGCCCCACACGTCCAAGTGGAGAGTCTTCAGAGGAGCGGTGGTCGGAGGAAACTCGGAGGAGTGAGGAGCGGCGCGCTGCCGCCCCTCGACGCAAGGAAGACACGGCAGGGCAAGCGAGCGCGGCAGGGGGGGCAGGGTCCTGGGGAGGCCAGAGACAAGGAGACGAGACTGCATGCTGCGTAGACGCGGCAGAG